AAAGTTTTCCGTTATTACGTGGTTATTTTTTTAAGATCAATCACCAATGCATAAAAAAAAAAAAAAAAAATTATAAAAATCCTGGAATCGAAAGTTTTATACTTTGTTACATATTTTGTTTTTTTTTTTTTTTCATTTTTACATTATGTATAGAAAAACATCCACTCAACACGCGAATTACATGAACTTTTGAATTGCAGTATGACGGCGTCTTACAGGCCGCAACTTTCATCTCGATACTTTTAAATGTATACTTTTCGTTTCTTTAATTTAATCGAAATTCGTTCTAAAGTAATATAACCTTTGGGTTTTAAATTTTTTATTTATTTTATTTTTTTAACTCACTTTATTTTACTATATACTTGCACAACAATAATATGAGAAAAGAATACCGTGATCCGACTTTGAACTTTCATTTCTAATTCAAACGTATACTTTGTCTTTCAACGACGACGATAGAAACTTTTTCAATTATGACTTTATTTTAAGTATATTGTATATGATATATATATATATATATATTATTTAACGTATCGTTTGTGTACTTCTATATTTTGTGTAGGTCAAACTATCGCATAAAATCTGACGAGTATAAAATAATCGAAATTCGCGTATACTGATTTGACGTAGGAAAACTTAAAAATAATAATTACGTGTATACTTTGGTTAACTTTCGCAAAACTAACAAGAGGAGTTTTTAATTACGTGTCCGTATTTCAAACATAAGTAATATTAAATTTGATTTTAATCACGAAATTATAATACGGGTAATGCGTTTTATTAAAAAAAAACAAAAACAAAATGATATTAAAAAAATAGATACACCGATTTCGGAACCAGAAATCTCATTTTCTTACTTATATCCGTGTACAGTTTATTGTACGATATTATTAAAAATCATTTTCTACGTTATCGAAAGCGTAGTTTTTTTTTTTTTTTTTTTAAACGAAATGTTGTTTTTTCATTTTTACGAAAACGGGGCAGAAACAATAAATCGTAAGTATACCGGCCGTATTATTTACGTTTCTTTACGGCCCGGCGGCGTGCAAACCCCCCAAAAAAACATATTCTCCCGAATAACTCATTTGACGAAAAATACCACGGTGGCCCTTATTGTTTTCTTTTGTGCTCACGCCTAATGTGTACGCGCTGCGCGTACATCACGCGTGTAAATTTATTTTCTTGAATGATAACAGTCCGCGGATATTTTGAACGGCGGTCGTTTTTCAAAAAAAAAAAAAAAAAATAACCGGCGCGAAATTAAAGCAAACGATCCGGAGTGAAGCGTGATGCGCGTGGCGGAGTACCTAGCGGGGCGGCACGGCGCGCGGCGTTTCAATAGTATTCCACTGCGCCTAAATCCTAAACTTCAAAGTGGAACGTCCCGTCAGCGGCTCGACGGATATAAACGATTCAAACACCGAAATTGTATTTGAACTAATATGCCTCGTATTTGTGACATTCGCAAAACAGAATTTAAAAACCAAAAAACAGGCTGGGCAGGTAGAAACGGTGGAACACGGTTGCGCATGGTTTTCGATAGATTAAAGAATACTTAACACAAAATAATTAAGTCACCGCGATTGCGTGCGAATGCGTGTGCAACGTTGTCAACTGTATATACTATATTACTCAATAATTATCCAGTAGAATAATTGTATCTGGACTGCAGAATGTTGTATAGAATACTGTACAAATTAATAATAAATAAATTAAATCGTAGTTAAAAAATTAATTATTTTTAAAATGTCTAAATTTTAATTTCTGAACATCTATAACCTTATACTGTCAAATACTGCAATACATTTGCGTGGATTTCATACTCATCATAAGCCTTTATAATATTTTGAATTCGAATAAAATACAAATTTGCCTTTTTCGTTATTTTTATTTTATCGATTAATTGCATAATCGGTCTTGTGTATTAAAATTTAAAAAAAAAAAACAATAACCTTTCCCTTTTTCGGATTCGATATAACTAAACGTCGATAGAATATACATACGTGCGTGACGGTCAACGGCGAACCGGAAAGCATGAAACACCTATAGTGTACCTCAAATATAAATATTTCTACATATTCGAAATAACGAAATTTCCAGCGTATTAAGATGTATCTGATGTTGCGTTGATATCGTCAACGATAAACGTTTGTGGAAAAACGAAGAGTATTTATTCTAGTTCACTCGCGTGGTATATACCAATATGGAAATTGGTAACAACGCGTAAAATTTCGTACGCAATCGTGTTTTACCCGGCAGGCGATAATCTCACCCCGGATCCGAAAATCGCCCTGTAGATAGAATTTTGATTTAAAACCGTTCAATAGTTTTTCGGGCTTACAAGTCATGCATATTTTTCGCCGATTTCGCAAAGTCTATCCGATAATCTATTCGATCGTCAGCATCTCGAACTGATCGTCGATTCTGATCGGCTTTCCAAATCCGTATGTTTACGCTGTCGAGCCAACGCTAACGGGGCCTACCACCTGGTCTCCTTCGGCCGGGCTTGTTGATTAACACCGTACGAATTAGCTTTCCTTCAATAAAAATATGCGCGTAAATAATTTATGTAGGTACCTAACCGCAACGAACGGTTTTATCTGCAATTCGACAATTTATTATTCATTGTAATTAACGTGCTGCGAATTATTCGTTCCGTGGGCTATTTGCAATACATTTGAATACAGGCGTATCCCACAAAGATACACCCATTTCGATATCGAAATAATTGTTTCCATACGACTCGCAGGGATGCGGACTATGCAAATAATCATAATTTAATTACATTTTTACCTTTTGTTAAAATATTTTAAATCGTATTTTATTAGTTTCAAAAAAAAAAAAAAATTAAAGATTTTATCGAGTTTATTCTTTTGAAAATGTTAAAGTGTCAACTTTTTATTATTATTTTAAAATTTTGAATGTTTTTTTTTTTTTTTTTGGATAATCATCAGAGTAGTGAAACGAGAGTTTTACTAAATGTATACTATTGATAAGGTGGGACTAAATGAGAAATGTAATGATGTTATTTTTTTATTAGTGAAAAATTTGTCCACCAGAAATCTTATTCCGACTTTCAGGAGTAGTGGCTTTCTGGAAGGAAATATCATCTGGGTGGTAATATTTTGATTTTCCAAGTGGTTTACAACAGTCTGTTTACTGTCTGTTCTTCTTGTTAATTTCACAAAACGCAGTTCGGGGTGTCTTTAATACAACAATAATAATAATTTTATGCAATAATTAATAATAATAATAATATTATTTTCGTAACGTTTGATTTATAAGAAAAACAAATTATATTATTATATTACTATATTACGGTTCTATGGAACACTTCGCGAAGTATAGTATATATGCGTTGTACCAGGTTTGTATACGATTCTGAGCAAAGCCAAAAATAATCTACAGTTCTCCTCCAACCACTTTTCCTCCCGGTGTATAGTGTACACGATTATTTTTCGATTTCGTATAGATAGCGTTTCAAAACATTAATCCTGCAAATCATATTTTTAGTTTTAGATTAAAAACTAGACTTTGTAAATGATACTTTAAACACTTGGACATCATACGCGGAATTTCTTTTCGAGACGTTTTTTAAGGATCGAAGGACGTTATATTTGTTCATGACAAAGTCGATTGCTATTATTTTGTTTCGTTTCAAAAAGCATATTCATTTTAGAGCCGAATCTTTTTTTTTTTTTGATGATTTATCAAATTTATATTCAATAATACGTAATGTAATTCGTTATAATTTTTAGTGATTGGGCCACTATAAAATCGGATGAAAAAAACTAAATGTCTATAAATAAAGTGTGGACTTCACACATAATGCGTGATCTAAAGATGAGGACACACGAAGACAATCCAGTTCATCCACAACACGGTAAAGGACATTCTGTACCACAAGAAGCAAAATAAAAGATCACGCGATGGTGAGGAAAACCGGGTAGTGGATGATTAAAAGAAATCCAGTATACAAGGTTATTTAAAACCCAGTATCTCCTGTCGTGAAATTTAAACATTTGGTTGTGGATGCTTCCAAAAGACATGATATTTTATTCATTTACGGAAAAAAGAACTCCATTTTTAAAATCTTAAGTGAAAATATAACAGTGGTAGGTATATAGTGAACTATAAATATGTTTGTACAGTATAAGAATAATTTAAATAAAATACAGAAAGTAATATGAATAATAATAATAATAATTACGATGAATAAATATATATATATATATATAAAAAACATAGTGTATAATTAGATTAACAAAATAAGATTAAATCGAAACACAAATTTGTTTAACATCATTAATACTACAAGAAAGAAGACCAATATTGGCAGAATTACCTTATGACATTAGTGTATTTGCTGGTGAATTTAACGAGTAATTTGTATTTATTTCTTTTAATAAAAATAACTTGTTGTCCCTGGTGTTTTTTGGGTTGGTTTTGATATTAATTTTCCTTAATAATGGGCTACAATCTATTTTATTATTGAGAAGTTTAAATAGGAAATTTAAATTTAAATATAAAATTCTACGGTTTTTTAAGGAAGCCGTATTAAAAAAACCCTAAGACTCCGTCATACCCAGTGTGGGGATGTCTTTGTACATTTAAAAGAAAAAAATCGTAGGAAAGAGTTCTGGATAGATTCCAGATTTTGAGTAAGAGTTATGGAATTAGGAGACTAAATGAGGGTAGCGTACTCTAATTGGGATCTAATTACAGAGAAATATACGTTTTTTTAATCCAAACAAATCATTAAATTCTGAACAACAACGTTTAGGGAGGCCAAGTTTTAAAGACGCTTTGTTTTTAATTTGAATAATATGGCCATTGAATTTTAATTTAGTATCGAAGAGTATACCTAAATCAATAATTAAAGATGCACGTTGTATTGAATTATTTTCTAATTTGTAATTATAAGTAGAGATATTATTTTTATACGAAAAAGTAATTACAGAGCATTTGTTTAAATTAAGTTGCATATTATTGTTTGAGCATCAATCACAAAAGTAGTTCAGGTCGGATTGTAAATCTAAAGTATCATTAATTGAAGTAACAGTTTTATACATTTTGGCGTCATCGGCGAAAAGCAATATGTTTGAATGTTTTAATACAGTAGAAATATCATTGATGTATAATAAGAACAATAAAGGAGAAATATGATCACCTTGGGGTAATCCAGAAGAAGCTTTAATGGGTGTTGAAAGAAAATTTGTATTGTTAACGATTTGTAGTCTATTAGATGGACAAGATACAAACCATGATAAGAGAGGATCATTAGAGCAGAATGTTATTTTTAGTTTGAGAACTAATAAATTACGATCGATTTGGTCAAATGCTTTATTGAAATCAGTGTAGATGACATATTTTTGCGCTTTTAAGGAAAAGGAATCTAAAATATCTTGTTTGAAAATAGCTATATTAGTGACTGTTGGAACGAAAACCGTGTAGTTCATTGATAAAAATTTTATCAAATATAGGGTATAATTTTGAGTTAATTATTTTTGTGAATAGTTTAGGAACAATTGATATTTTTGAGATTGGTCGGTAGTTAGAAACAAAAGATCGATTATTCTTTTTAAAAACGGGAGAGATGGCACTTAAACCATGTGTATACCAACTACAGCCATCCTTCTGACTTCGTTTAAGAGTTGATAGTGCATATTATATGCGTTGTAAATGCGAGTTTAGCAAAATCACAATATGCAACTGTTTCCGATACAATGGTTTCAGTCCGAAACAAGTTGAAGTTCCTATTGTAAGACCCACAGATTTATCAGCCAAATTGTATAAAGAATGGATCAACATTAACGAAAAAGCCTAAACCACTAAAGTCATAAACGAGAAAATTATCTGTGATGAAATTCAATCAAAACAGCGAAAAGAAAATGTGGCTGATGATAGTGACAAAAGATAAGAAATCACCATCAACAAAACAGATGCTGGAAGCGATTATGGTTCTACGCAAAGATTCAGCAAAGAAGAGATTCTGAAGTATTCAAGCAACATAATATCTGGAAGGTAATTATTATGAAGTTGACCGCAGAAGGGGAAATCCAATCAATCCTGGATGATTTTTTATCAAAAATAATTAGGTACCTAGGTTATTACGGTACAACAATTAAACAAAAATGTGTTTTTAAGCACAATTAAAATTGAGCTGTTCACTGTCTCGAGTACAATGAAGGACGACTCATATTACGCCACCCCACCAATACGCTTTAAGCGAAACAAACACGGATGCTATGCATACATTTTTACAACGCCACTAGGCTTAAAAACCTATTGCGAACACATTGCAAATTTATTTAAATCTCAACACAAATATGTTGTTATTCTTTAAAATTATATTCACTATTATCTATACGAAAAACAATATGTACGGCGTGAGAATTATGTAAAACTTTGTAGACTAATCGATCAATGCCGTTATTCCTTAAAAGAAAAAAAAAAACATAATTTCAAATTGATTAAAAATACACATTTTCACGACGTTTATTAGTTAAAAAAAAAGCGTAGAGCGTGGAGGATTTCGGTGGTGCGTTCGCTCCTTGTTCGGGTACTTCTACGGTTTTCCGTTTTCGAGACCATTCGAAATCGTTTAGTTTACAGCGTGTCAATGCGGGAACCGACCGGTCGGACCGCGAGTGCTCATCCTGCCCGCCGCCGTCGCTTTTATTATCTCCTTAGTACAGTATACTCCCGGGTGTATAATACGGACGGCGGGCCAATAATAATACGTCTTATTTACATATTATTATTTTGAATATAGTGTATCCCGTGCTCACTCGAACGACTCGAACTTTTTGCAAAGCACTCGTGTCGGAGTTATTAATCGTCGTACGCACCCCAACTACCGCCGCCGCCGCCGCCAGACGTATTCCGTCGGAACAATGAAAACGCGACGCAGATAAGTTTGTATTTTTTTTTTTTTTTTTTATTCCCGTCTGTTATTTTTTTCCCAGCTCTCTCTCTCTCTTTTGTGCCTGTCCCCCCATTACGCGAGCACGCGGGCACGATGGCAATCCCTTTAAAAGCTTCCAAAATAGCGGCAATATTGTTATTATTGCCGTGCCGGCGAACACACATTTTCTCCCTTCCCTCAATTACCCGTAACTCCCTTTAAGTAAATTATTTAACTCGATGTATACGCGCCTGCTACCAACATCCCCCTCTGTCCTTCTATCCCCGTTATCCGCGAGACCGAGTGTATAGTTTTCTCCTCTTCCCCTATATACACGCACACACACATATATATATATAATACCCAACCTCCTCCCCCGCGGGCTATACAATTTGCGCCGCCGGCCGTCCTGTACGCCGGCGTTCCCGCCGTCCCGAACGCCCAAAGTGTTTATAAGTTAAGACACGTTTGGAGAGGAGCTCACGATTTTGGCTTCCGTCCCGCGGGCCGCCAGCTATCGCTGCAGCAGTCGATCTACCCTCTCAGTTTTGCACAATATGTGTGGGAACCCGTACGGCGCGCGCTCGTGTATTCTTTACGCGCCCCGCGCTGTTCCCGGAGACTCGGGCGTCGCAGGACCGCGCAGTTACCGTACCCCCCCCCCCCCCCNCCCCCCCCCGCGCTAACGACCGTTCTCCGACGTGCGATAGCTCGCCGGCGCGAACTGCACGCGCCGCGGCCGCGGCCGTCTCGATACAAAAGTTTGTATGAGGGTTTACGTTTTACGCGACGGTAATGCGGTAAAGACCGCGAGACGGGTGCCGTACGCAGGACTTCGGGTCGTTAACATCGCGGGGCACGCACGGGGGCGCCGAGCGCGCCGTGACAATGTTACACACATCCGATTACGTCGCGGGACCACGGTTACCACGGCGGCAGTCGAGTCCTGCTCGCACGCGTAGTCCCGGGTTCCGGTTCCCCGTTGACGGCCTTGGCCGCCTTTATTCAAACGGCTAAACAGTCTTTACCGGCACGGCGTTGTTTGAAGTGATATCACCGGGCATTTTGGCTAATATGTTTGACTCAGCCGCGGTCTAATGTTTGACCGGGCTTGCTATTGCTTTCCGCCAGGACAAAACAGACAAGCACCTGATCATAGTGTATCGTCGCAATGTTATGCGCATGACCTCCACGTCCCACCTACGTCCGCTGCTTCCGATCGGTTAATCGCAGGGGGTTGAATCGAGGGCAGGGCTAGAGGGCTATAGCCCCCGGCTGCACGGCAGGGGGGAATACAATGTTTCGTTTCTTTTTTTTTTTTCTTCATAAACTCTTTTTTAGATTCTGAGTGTAGTAAAGAACCTAGCTAGTAGTTTTACAAAGACGTGATTTTTCCTTAGACAACACTTTTCGGTTGGTACTAAATATGATCCCGTTTTTTAAATTTCATACCTCAACTTATGCGAATATTTTGTCCGGTGGAACTTTATTTGAAACATTTATCGAAATGTTCAGAAATGCGTTCCTGTAGGTTTGTTTTTTTTTTGAAATAACGAGTACCTCGTATCTACATGTAATCAATATTGTATCGATATAATATGACAAAGACGGACATACTTTGCACGATAGGCGGGCCACTGTTGTAAGTGGGAAGTTGGGAAGGTAGGATATAGATGGGAACTTAATGTATTTTTATATGCAACGATTAATCATTGCTAACGGAAAATGATTTTGAGCGGAGTTTGGTTACACGTCATGTTTTAAAAGGCTTTAATGTGTACGATTTTCGTCAACGTTTCATATCAAAATACTTAATAAAAATAATAAAACATTATACCTATTCAAATTTTTCTTGTTGACCAAGCCTCTACGAACATTTTAAACTTAATTTTAATAAAAAATATTTAATTTAAAATATAAAAACACTGTTTTCTTAAATTTTCCAATTTTTCTAACGTTCTATCCCGTTTTTCCCAATCATAGGGTAAACACCTGGGACAATAATAAATGTACCTTCCTAAAGTACAGCGCAAATAAAATTTCCTTTCAGTAAAGCACTACACTTAAAAATCGGAGCAGGATTTATGGTAAGAAGTTGTTCACAGATAAAAAAAAAAAAAAAAAACACCATTGTAAAACCAATACAGTCCTCACTTCGCTCAAAAACTAAAAATATACATTAAATACAAATGTATAGATCTGAATTTAACAAAAAAATGTAGTTAGTGGACTATGTAGTGCCCCTTTAAACTATTATGACCGTAATCCACCCCGGTTGACCGGCAATGGCGGCGACGGTAATGTTAGTCAATGAGAGGGGGAGATCCGCGCGATTTAGGTGAAGTCAACGGCGGATTTGAGCGGCGGCGTTATACGGATATTATTTTCGTGGACGAAATTATCCTCAGTTTCCTACGATATGAGATTATGTTAGGTGCATTTGCTTGTTACTTTAAAGACGAGTATTTTCGGCGCAGTTACTTTTCATCATTACGCGCAACGGACGAATCGCGTCCATAAACGTTTTGATATTATTACGCGAGTGTCGTAATTTTACGCGTTGACAAATAAAAAAACAAGAAAACAGAGACAAAACGAAGAGCCGAGGGCGCGGGGGGAAAAAAGCATATAGTAAAAAATATTATTGTGTTACGTTCTCGGGCAATAACGAAAGTGTTATTATATGGCGCGCGATAAACTCGCCGTATATACGCCGGCATTTGTTGTAATAAAACTTTTTATGTGGAAATTTGACACACTGATCTTTTGTTGCCGTTTATTATATAGTACGCCATTCTTATATTATTATACAGTGATAGTAACAGGGGACTAGATTGCAGATTATGAACGTGTTTTTGATAATATATAGTGTATATTAGTATACCAGTTCACAACTTACGGCGGCAGCGGTTATAAACTATTTTAAGGCGGAATCGTTTTTAAGTGCTTAATAAAATGTTTGCAGTCACACGCTGAGCTGTATAATAATATAAAGCAAAGCTATTTACTATATAAACTCATTTCCTCCCTTTGATTTAAATCTTAATAGCGCCGCAGTGAAAGGATAATATTGTAGGAATCGAAACCTGCAGTATTTTTTGTTCATAAATGTACACACTGTATAGTAGATTATTATTACGTAAATATAATTGAATTTTCAAATTTTCGGATGCTTGCGATCACACATTTTGAACGTGTTGCACACACTGAGTAATTTCGATTCAATAAACGCTTTAAGGTTCCTTTATCCGACGCGCACGTGCCTACATTGTTATAAATGTTTTCTGGTACTCCGATATTATAATATACACTGCGCATAATATTAACATTAATATGTATTAATGTGCAATAATTTTGGATTGTGTGTGTGACCGTGAAGAGATATAAAATCAGTGTACGTATTTCGACGTTGTAGCAGGTTTTCTTTCCCGTAGTTGGTATATTATAAATAAAACAAAATCCATCGTTTCATGATATTAAACGAAGTCGAAAGTGACATTAAATATATTCAAAACTGATTCCGTGGTGTTTTTTTTTTATAAAACAATTTTT